GTGACATTGTTATGTTTTGTTTCGCTCGGGAAGCGTTTATTATACATAATAGAACTCCATTGTAGTAAGCCATAACTATGAACAATATCATGTCCCAAATAAATAATCTAATATGTAGATCTGCAATTGGTCACATGATGGTCCGAACATTATTTGTATGGCTCTATTTGTTGACAGCAAATACCGCTAATAATTATCTTGGATAAAATACCTCGTTTAGTAAACGAGGCAATTTTACCCAGCCTCGTTCTGAACAAAATACCTCGTTCCAAAATCAGGGCAATTTAAAAAACCACGTTTTGGAACTCCAGAGAAACGAGGTATTTTTTTTACCTCGTTACAACGAGGCAAAATCGGGGCAAAAATTTTGACACGTTTTTGCCTCGTTTGGACAGAAATGCCGAACGAGGCATTCTGAGGTTTATAGTGATAATAACATCATTTTTGGATTTATTGGGGTCGACTTCCTATATGTCTGTAATACATTTATAGGCCAAAAAGTCGATAGTTAACGAGATATCTAACAATCTAGCCGCATTTGGCGGCCATTTTGTATTTATGCTAATTAGAAGGTCAAAAACTCAAATTTCGGCTTGGGAACATGGATATTCGTATTCAGCACACCAAAATCATTAAGAAAAGTCATGTTCTAAGTAAATCCTTTTTCCGGAAATTTTACCAGTCTATCCAGTTTCCTCTCACAGGAAAAGGCCCTTCGCGTCCGCTGAGATAAATAAAAATGAAAAATAAGACTTGTGCGCGATATCACCTTCGGTGGAAGCGGACGTTAAACACTAAGAACAACAACCCACCCTCTCTTCTCACGACAGCGATATTAAAGTGATTTTTAGATATACAAGAACCTTTTATTATTTTAAAACTGTGTTTTAAAGTGACTTTTAGATATACAGGAACTTTTTATTATTTGGTTTTTTTTTACCTATCTTCTATATATTACTAATTCAGATGTAAATAAGAAAAGTCATGTTCTAAGGAAATCCTTTTTCCGGAAATTTAACCAGTCCATTTATGTATTGGACGTTAAATTTGTAATAAACAACAAAACAACAGCAAAAGAACACATATGTATAATAATATCATGGCCTTGACTAATAATTCCCTATTGTCAAAATATAAGGTATGGTATGAGTTTATTTGAAACGCAAATTAAATTGATTATGAATATTGCGAGAATAACAGAACATGGGGTTTAAGGCGAAGGATAAATTCTATTGTCTAGAACACTCATGAGAGGAATATTCCTACTGTTCATTTAAGGATAATATTCACGCCATCAAGCTTAGTAACCAATGATAATAATTAATTACGTAATATTTGTGCAATTAAATAATAGATAGCCGAAATCATAATTGCAGTGTCAAATGTGTAGGGCAATTATATATAGACAAGTAATAACAACAAACCAGAAACCATGTATGGCAACCACAAGGTCAAAGGCATGACAACAACAAGATCAATCAAAGGCAAGGTGTAACTAACGGATTAGTGAAGCAACTGATGATTGGCATTAATTAAAGATACATTAGTTAAGAGTTTAATAAAGAGTTGGCCATTCTTGGTATAATAATTCAAAAATAGATGATAAAAAAAAGAAAATATTGAAAATTTCAGTCAAATTACTTTATTATAAAAGGAGTTGTCACTGTTGGAAGTTTGCACTAGAGATAGGCATCAACTGTATCTGCACCGTCTACGAGAATTGCCGATCGTTTGATTGACAGACGATAACTCCACTTACATATTCTCGATTATCAAGTAACATTCTCAATGGCTATAGAACCCTCGCTTGGTAGGCCTTTCATCACCAGTTTCCGATATTCAGTAACTAACATTACACGTTAGTTTGGTCGGCCATTTCTTGATTTAATTTTACATGGACGGCTGTTTAAATCAAAGCTATACCAAAGCCATCCGAGGGTCTGCAGAGTTGATTTTGAGCTTGTCATGTAAAGGTCTAATTAATAATTTCTATAATATCTGAAGCCTAGATAAAGACTTGCAATAGGCTGATTTAGCTCTTGCATAATGTATGTTTAACATTAATAATTAATCATAGGGGTCAATAATTTAGACAGACAACCAATAATGACAAATCAGAAGCCATACATGAGGCGAGGGTATATCAAATGAAAGTAAAAGACTGATAATAGGTAGTAACAAATGAACTGAGATTTTAGCGATTGAATTTTCGGCCTAGCCTCGATCATCATTACTAAAATCTGTACGATAAAAAACACAGTCTCGATTATCCATTTAATGATTAAATTATGAATGGAAGTCGAACAGGAAATCGAAACTTAATCCAATACACATCTCAGGCTAGAGATGCAACCGAGAGTTGATTATGGTCTGGATAAGTTATTTCTAAATAACAATGTCTAATTAATAATTTAGATAACATTTCAGGCCTAAAGAAAGACCTGCAATTGGCAGATTAGCTCTTGCATAATGTATGTTTAACGAAAATAAAATATAATATTAAATTGCACACTAAACAGCCCAATCCACGGGATACACCCTTTCAACCGATTGAGACACACATTTTACACAGGTTAAATAAAAGAAACGGCTAACTGGTTTACTAAATGATACTTAAACAATTAGACTATAATTAAGTGGAATATTATTGATGGATTATGAATATCGGAAAGCATACACCACAGTCTTAACCACTGGCTCCTAAATGATTACAGTCCCACACACGTCCTCCCAATAGATACACACGTTCCACAAGTTTAGTGTGGGGAAACCGTATTAGTAACAGAAAACTAGTTTTATACACATGCCATGTATATTGAAATTAGTTTTGCAAGTCGATTACAATATTTGCACAAATTAATACACTTGATTCACGAATTAAATAAATTTAAGCATGTTGGAAAGTCAAGGCATGTACACATTAGTAACTGTTCTTCCATAAGCATGTGTTCCAGTATTTTGCTCTACCCAGTAACTAAATGCATCCTAAAGGATTAGAAATGAACTGTTGGATTGTTAATTCTGTGTGTAACCATAAACTAAACAAAACAAGCCAACAGTGAGGCTGATGTCCCCAACCGAAATAGGAAAATAATTAGAGGACACATATAAAAATCAAATTGCGTATCGCTCTGCTTACCCTGAGCAGAAAATGCTCATTATCAAACTTAGTCAAGGTATTACTGTAATGAAACTATACACCAAGTTTCATCAATCTCACTTAATTAGAACTAAAGTTATCGTGTCCCAAAGCATCAACCAATCAAATTGCTTACCTCTGCTTACCCTAAGCGGAAAATGCTCATCTTCGAACTCCATCAAGGCATTGACCTAATCAACACATACACCAAGTTTGAACATTCTAGCTCAATTAGGAAGAGAGTTATCGTGCCCCAAAGTATCAACCAATCAAATTGCTTATCTCTGCTTACCCTAAGCGGAAAATGCTCATCTTCGAACTCCATCAAGGCATTGACCTAATAAACACATACACCAAGTTTGAACATTCTAGCTCAATTAAAAGTTATCGTGTCCCAAAGCATCAACCAATCAAATTGCTTATCTCTGCTTACCCTAAGCGGAAAATGCTCATCTTCGAACTCCATCAAGGCATTGACCTAATAAACACATACACCAAGTTTGAACATTCTAGCCCAATTAGGAAGAGAGTTATCGTGTCCCAAAGCATCAACCAATCAAATTGCTTATCTCTGCTTACCCTAAGCGGAAAATGCTCATCTTCGAACTCCATCAAGGCATTGACCTAATAAACACATACACCAAGTTTGAACATTCTAGCTCAATTAGGAAGAGAGTTATTGTGTCCCAAAAAGTGTGACGGACAGACACAACGTGGGATATTAGAGTGCCATTAAAAATATGTCTTAATCATAAGTAAAGAATTACAAATACAACCAGTGACAATACTAGACGATCACAAGGCTCTTAAAATATGTGGCAGAGAGAGTATGCGTCACACGTTGGGTTTGGCTTTCCACATCAAACCAGAGACACATATCATTGCATAGTGCTGCATCAGTAATAGAAACTAAATTTGAATTAACCAATCAGAAATAAGCGCTTCCCCAACCGCCACGTCTTCCGAAGAGAGACAAATGGGGTTTAACGTCCACTCGACACAAACCGTGTCATTTCGGGAATAACATATGGTTCAATTTTATTTCAATAATGCGCTTCCGCGTATGTGTCTTTAGCAGTGGGAGGAAACTTTTGGACCCGCAGAAAACCCACGAGGTTGGACAGGCGACCCTACTCCTTGTCACGTAGAAGGGGGGTTGGATGGCTGAATGGTTAGCGTGCGCGCGCTGTATCATAAAGTCTGTCATTGAGTCGACTGGCGTGGTTTCGAATCCCCGGTTGTACGTGGCAAGGAGTAGGGTCGCCTGTCCAACCTCGTGGGTTTTCTCCGGTTTCCTCCCACTGCTAAAGAACCCTACGCGCAAGCGAATTATGTAAATAAAATTAAACCATGTTAGTCCCGAAATGACCTAGTTTGTGTCGAGTGGACGTTAAACCCCATTTCTCTCTCTCTCTCTGTCACGTAGAACAGGGGAATCGAAACCACGTAAGTTGATTCAATGTCAAACCTTATGATACAACTCACACGCGCTAACCATTCGTCCAACTTCTTTCGGTCCAACGAAGTCAGTATTCAGAAATTGATATTGCTTAAATAATACCGCTAGGAAACGATCCATTTAGTGACATTGGGGGTTCTATATAAATTAAATACAGTCTAGTCTCCAACAAAAACGGATGGAGCGTGTTACATGTAGTGAGAATTGTGAAATAATCGGAGAAGAAAGGTCTTCACTGAGTCGAAACAAAATGGTGTGTGATATACGTGGTATACTAGACAAGATAATGGATGAAATTTTAATCTCTTCAAATACCTTTGGCCCAGTCCACCTGTACAGTGTAGTAGAACATAACAAATCTTTAAAAATAGAAAATAAATATTTAAAATAAACAAAGCTCACTTTTGCAGCAGGATTCACACAGATGAGCCTCTTTTACCTCTGAACAACTGATGCATCTTGGATTTCGCATCCCTCCATATCGTGACCAAGGCCACCCACTCCTTTGTCCCGAGATAGTCACAACAGTGGTCAAGACCATTGCAATGCACAAAATAACACGCATGATGATAATATTGTATAATACTATACTATACTATAGCACAAGAGTACGTGAAACAATTAGATTGCTGAACACAAGAGTTTATCGTTTGTTTTATACACAAATACCTGTTCACAGGTGTTCTTTTGTACATTATGTTTTAGGGGGTTCTCCAAACAAATAATATGCATCAGCTGTGTTTGGAAATAAAATCAGTAAATTTTATTTGGTCGTTAATTTTAGATCTAAAGGTTTTAGCAATCAACTTCTTGTCGACATGTTATTTTCATTTTATTCCCGGAAGTAATATTTTATATTTGTGCTGTTAGTGTTTTCCTCCTTCATCGTGATTGGTTATTGAAGATAAACGTGGCTGAACGATCGTTATTGTCAATGCATGAGGCACGGTATACCCAGGCCACACTACAATAATAGGAAACAAATTCAGTTGAATGCTATAATTTGGGTTGTTAGTGTTTTCCTCTTCATATCCGTGATTGGTTATTCAAGATTAACGTAGCTTAAGGATCGTTATTGTCCATGATGCATGGTATACCCCATATTCCTGAAGCAGTGGCCCAAGAAATCCCTCTCTGCCACTTGCTGGATTGACTTCTGATACTTGAGCTTTTGAGGGAGTGTCTATTCTTCCCGTTCAATCAAATATATCCCACGTACAGCAACATGATAGCCCTTCGTTTAATCTGGGTCTTCAATAACCTTTTGGACAGTGGTTTAAGGAATTTGAAAAAAAAACGGTGAAAGTCTTGTTCGTCTCCAAACAGTATTGTATACATTGTATCCGTGTTGATAGCCCCGTTTGTCACGCAATCATTTCTCCTGCAATATTCTTCTATGCACTGGTTAATTGGGCATAATAAAATCGCGAGTCATGACGTAACGTTATGTAAACATATTTGGTTCAATTTGGAGCTTTGTTTAAAGCGTAATGACATTGTTACGCAGTTAGCTATTGGTTGTTAATTGGACTATTGATCAGTCATAATTTGGAACAGACATTTGCTTCCATTAAAGCAGTGTTTAGTGGGATTAGCTCTAATCAAACGAAACACTGCGGGGAGTATGGGTATATCCAGGCTAATGACTGTACTATACACTAACAGGAAGAGAATTCAGTTTAATGCTATAAATTATGCAATTCAAACAACAAAAAAGCACGACTAGTCATGAATGTACATCCACCGTCATGTGAGATTTAAATATTCTCTTCAACCTGCCATCACCAAGAATTACGTGATTGGTAATACAGTAACATTATGACCGTATAGTCCGTTATACAAGAACTGAGGACGCAGACTTATGAGGAATTCAATAATAAAACAACACTCCCTCCCCCATCCCGCTTGACAGTAGCACCGGAAATCGCTGAAATTGACATAATTATGTTCAGTGGTACATGCTAGAATAGATTTGACGTATTTGAGCGATGGCATACCATACTGAACAACCCAGAACTAAACGAAATGAGGACACCCTTTGGGAAGGCACGGAACATGGCCACACTGGTAGGAAATCTCATCGAATTAGAGCGTTATCAACCATCTCCAATATTTTCTGCTTTTGCATTGTTGAGGGCAATGTTGGCTACCCTGCCTACCCACATTTATACATTTAGATATCGGCTAAAATCGATAGTAAACACGTGTTTAAATATTTATATCCTCAACAGTCTATAGACTAGTTAATGATTGGTTAGCATATTCAATTACCAGGAAATATAGATTTATTACGTATCTTTACCGATTATTACAGGGAAACATTATTATCACTCTACAAACAGCTATAGTCCCTTGTAAAAATGGTTCACCAATCTCTGCTAGGGTTACTGCCATCTCTATGTTTTACACACCAACTTTTGGACTTTGAAGGAATTATTAGTGAGCAGAAATTCGCCCATGTATCTGTTACCACCCGTCACTTCAGTCAGTTATATAAAGGGATAACCCGTGTTTTCCTTTTGCGTTCGTCACTTCCGATTGTTGAAACATTGATTACGCATCTATCGTAGCAATGATCTCTGTGATAAAATAACATTTGGCACGCGTTTAACCAGTTCTATCACATATGTGATAATGACTGGCACCAATATTGTGCTTTAAGCTCGAAATGTTAATCATTGAACTTAATCAAGACATTCACCTAATAAGCATCTACATCATGTTAAAACATTCTACCTCAATTAAAAGCAGAGTTGTTCTGTTTCAAAGTCTTGACCAATCAAATTGCTTGTCTCACCTTAGCCTAAGCAGAACATTCTCATCATCGAACTTAGACAAGGTAATGATATAATGAATCTATACTCAGAGTTTCATCACTCTCACTTATATCATCAACCAATCAGATTGCTTATCTTTGTTTACAGTAAGGAGACAATGTTTATCATCGAACTAGATCAAGGCATTCACCTAATGAACGCCTACCTCAATTAGAAGGCGAGTTACTGTGTTCCAAAGTCTCGGCCAATCAAATTGCTTATTGCTCTGCTTACCCTGAGTAGAAAGTGCTCATTATCGAACTTAGTCAAGGTATTTATGTGATAAAACTATACACCAAGTGTCCTCACTCTCACTAAATTAGAACTAAAGTAATCGTGTCCCAAACACCAATCAATCAAATTGCTTATCTCTGCTTACCCTAAGCAGAAAATTCTCATCTTCATACTCCATCAACGCATTCACCTAATAAACACCTACGCTAAGTGTGAACATTCTATAATGAATCTATACTCAGAGTTTCATCACTCTCACTTATATCATCAACCAATCAGATTGCTTATCTTTGTTTACAGTAAGGAGACAATGTTTATCATCGAACTAGATCAAGGCATTCACCTAATGAACGCCTACCTCAATTAGAAGGCGAGTTACTGTGTTCCAAAGTCTCGGCCAATCAAATTGCTTATTGCTCTGCTTACCCCAGCAGAAAATGCTCATTATCGAACTTAGTCAAGGTATGTATGTAATAAAACTATACACAAAATTTCATCACTCTCACTTAATTAGAACTAAAGTTATCGTGTCCTAAAACATCAACCAATCAAACTGCTTACCCTTTGCAGAAAAAGCTCATCTTCGAACACCATCAAGGCATTGATCCAATAAACACCTACACCTAGTTTGAACATTCTACCTCAATTAGAAGATAGTTATTGTGTGCCAAAGTCTCGGCCAATCAAATTGCTTATCGCTCTGCTTAACCTAAGCAAAAAATGCTCATTATCGAACTTAGTCACGGTATTGATGTAATTGAACTATACACCAAGTTCCATCACTCTCACTTAATTAGAACTAAGTTATCGTGTCCCAAGCAGAAAATGCTCATCTTCGAACTCCATCGAGGCCATGGCCTAGTAAACCCCTACACCAAGTTTGAACATTCTAGCTCAATTAGAAGGAGAATTATTGTGTCCCCAAAAAAGTGACGGACAGACAGACGGGCGAGCCCATTTTAATAGTCCCCTGCTTTCTTCGAAAGTCGGGGGACAATAAATAATATCTAACCCTTCGGTTGAGACAAAAATATAAGATCGGACGAATCATACAATTTTCCGTTACCTGCCTAGTTTTCATACACGCGAATTTCCAGTACGATGAAAATAATACGCAAAAAATGCTGTTTTTATTTCCCACATGCGGATAAATAGCATGACATAAATATGTGTGGACTTGCGCCTGTAACCGGGTATGAAAATATATTTTAATCTTATTTACTTCTACTTCTAGGAATTTATTAAAGCAATAGATATGTTTTATTTATTGATTATTTGTTGCATATCATAATCAAATTTTATTCATATGGTGGATTAACACATCGGGAAACAGAATAAGAAAATAAAATTTATTCAAGTTCTGAACATGTTTAATTTATTGATTTATTCGCATGGCTGCCATGTTGCATATCATAATCAAATTTTATACATATGGTTGATTAAGCTACCAGGAAACAGAATGAAACAATAAAATTTCACGGCAAAAAGTATATAGAGTTAGTCCAGCCCTTATTTACCTTCTCAATTCACAATTATAATACCAACTTGACAATGGGGTCCTCCGTCGACATTCCACGCTATGTGGCGCGCGTGTATTAGGGGGGATACCTATCAACATGGCAGACGACTACCGACTCGGCTTTTGAAATGTTCTGAACACAAACGTGGTCATATTTTCAACCTGGCTGGACTGCTGGAGGTTTAGCTGGGTATAGCCTAGGCCTCGCTATGCCAAATCAAAACAAACCGGCATGGGAATTCCCGGATATGACCTGCTAAACCTTTGACCTGCCAAACGAGCTTGCGAACAATACCTGCTTTATGTTATCAGAATAAGTAATTCTAGGAAGTTTAAATGAATTATTTATGAATATTAATCATGCGTGGAATCAATGGGCGAAACAATAATAGGGTACCGGTAGGCGTATTTAATCTACTATAGTCTAGGCCTTGCTGGTTGTAATAATTTTATAAGCTTATTCATATGTCTATTATTATTATTATGTTAACCACTTTCGTTATCGTGGCCTATGTAAGATTTTGCCGATAACTTTGAATTTTATAGTTTGGTATGTGATATAATGTGTGGAAATAACAATAGGCTATGTTGTTAATGTAAGCCTTGTTGCTATTTTAAAACTAACACATTTCGATATGAAGACCCTAAAATAGCCGTAATTTTAAATTCACTAAAAGCTGTGTGAAAAAAATATTGACATTTGGCATGTAGGCCTGGTCAACTTTTTAAGTCCATTAAAGGAGCCAAGTCTTCTACATTGCAAACATGACTTTTTGTTCAATTTAAATTAACATTGAGGTTGTTATCTTACCGTGAAAAGTTGGACTTCTTATCCAATATTTTAGACAAAATGAAAATTTTAAAATTAGCACACGAATCGCGTACCCTAGGGTGCTTTTGGGCGCCATTTGGATGAAGCAACTCGATGAACGAGGCTAAACATATCTCATGTAGGAAAATACTACCGGTGTAGACTGGAATAACCAGATTCCAAAGACTGCCATTCAATTCAGACTCTTTGCATATTTCGCCAAAAATAACTGATTAGAAATTACAATAAAAACAGAAATGATTGAATGTAAATCAGTTTACATACATTCATATTACATTATCATATGTGTTGCGACCCATTTGTTTCCATTTATAGATGCCATAGAATAGCGTTTTAGCTCCTTTAAATGTTGTTTTTTTTCTTTCAGATTAGAATCGTATGACCGCAATGACAACTTCAGGGGGCCTGTCATTATTCTTCCTGATATGGTAAACACCGAATGGCCTATCACTGGTTATCAACAGTTAACTAATGAACACAAAGAGCATTTGCCTGTAATTAATTTCCATCAAATTGAAGGCTATCTCTTATACAGAATGGCAGGTAGATAAAGACCTCTATATCTTTCATTTTTAGTAATGTGTGTGTGTATTCTGAATTTGAATAGTTCAAAAATAGTAATGGAAACTGAATATATTGAAAATTCATTACAATTACTTTATTCTGACTCTGAAGTCTGAGCAATGTAACACGACTGTTTGAAGATATTGTGTAGGTTGTTCATTGTTGTAGCAATTATACTATAGGCTTGTTACGTCCACTCAACACAAACTAGATCACTTTGGGACTAAAATATGGTTCAATTTTATTTCAATAAATCCCTTGCGCATAGGGGGTCTATAGCTGTTTACCACCCCAACCCCATCTTAATTAATGCATACGGTACTTAAATCACTAATTATGAATATGGTCATATCATAAACAAATATTGTTTTTCATTTAATAGAGGATAAACAAATATCTGGAGATTTGAAGGCCCTTCAAAAGGGAAAAGATATGGCGGATGGTGGGAGAGTGCTTGCTTGCTCAGTTATACTAACTGCAAGCGATACATATTTCAGTGGCATAGTTGGTGCTGCCATGAAAAATAAGGTAAATCATGTTATTTTACAGCACAGTTTAAGGCTAGGTGGTACATTACTCATCACACTTAGTTATGCTTTTAACTAGAGACTGATGTGACAACAACCTTGACCTCTTAATTTAGAGGCAATCCAAATTGTGGGATAAGAAAAAAAAAATATGTTGACCACTTCTAAAGACCCCTACGCGCAAGCGAATTATTGAAATAAAATTAAACCATATGTTAGTCCCGAAATGACCTAGTTTGTGTCACGTGGATGTTAAACCCCATTTCTCTCTCTCTCTATCTGGTACAAATGTAACATACACCATCTCCAACAATGATCCATATTATTCATTTGAAAATTCTTGTCATATTAAAGGTGACGTACAACTACAAGCTTAAAATCCACTCAACTGGTGACCCCATTACTTCCCATTGTGAATGTCCAGCAGGCAAGGGGCCACATGGTACATGTAAGCATATTGCAGCAGTTCTATTACTTCTGCAATGGTTCACAGAGACGGGCGAAATTAAAGTAAAGAAGTCATGCACTGAAAACATTCAAAAATTTCATAAACCTAAAACCATGTACGAAGGTAAATATTGTTATTTACACACTAATTCAAATTAAAATCTAGCAGAGATTTGTTATTTTGAATTTAAATTGAAATACCCAAGATTTGAATTTAATATGCATCGGAATAGCTCAAATGAAAATGCTTGTGAATTTTGTTTAAAATATTAAAATTAAATGTAATAAACTAATAAAATATGTGTGCTACTTAAAAGTGACCCAAATATGGTTTCTTAAATTTTAGGATTAGTATTTATTACAAAAATTTTATTACAGGTAAGCCGGTCTTCTCAGAGGAAATTCCGACAAAAAGAAAGTGTATGGATGAAATGTTGGACGATCCACGACCTATAAAACGTCGAAATAATGCTGGTTATACCGATTATGTCAGAAACCGTATGATCAATTATGTTCACCATTCCTCTCAAGATCTGGCAATGCGATATTTGTTTCCTGTAGCTAACATTCAGGTAATGACTATATACAGAGGCGTAGCCGTGAAATATATATTGGGGGGGGGGGCCGCAACCCTAACCCCTAACCCTATTTTAAAACCCCTAAAAAATATAAACAAACACCATGTGGCCATGCTGTCCACACAACTCGTTTGCTGATTGGCCCACCGCGTGCAAAGTATTATGGTTATGTGGCTGGCTGAGCGGGCGATAAATATTTGGTTTAGGCGATAATGTTTTTGGGTACCTACATGCGATTCACTCTGATAAGTGGCAGAAAAAAATTAACTAGACATAATTTTATGGAACACAGTTACTTTTCACTTCACACATGTTTCAAGGATGATTCTCTCTGTGTTTTATTTTAGCAATGTAAACCATATTGGGATATGTACAGATAGAATCTTAACTAATCCTAGTAATTGTTGTAAATAAATAGGAGTTAGGATCTACTATGTAAATTTTTGGGGGGGTCCAAGTATATTCAGACCCCCCACCCCCCAGAAAAACAATTGTGACGCCCATGACTATATAGGGTGGTGCAGAAGAGCCCATAGATATTGTCCATGAGACACCAAAAATAATTCCAAATCACTTTTAATTTTACAGATTGCAAGTGAAGACCATAAGTACCTGCCTTTGCCATTAACAGAATATTTGGTTGACAGAGCTATACAGGTAAATGCTATGATAGTTAATGTTTCAGGTTGAAATTACAACTATAATGTTTTTTGTCCCCCGCCTTTCGAAGAAAGCAGGGGACTATTAAAATGGGTTCGTCCGTCTGTCTGTCCGTCCGTCTGTCTGTCCGTCACACTTTTTGGGACACAATAACTCTCTTCCTAATTGAGCTAGAATGTTCAAACTTGGTGTATGTGTTTATTAGGTCAATGCCTTGATGGAGTTCGAAGATGAGCATTTTCCGCTTAGGGTAAGCAGAGATAAGCAATTTGATTGGTTGATGCTTTGGGACACGATAACTCTCTTCCTAATTGGGCTAGAATGTTCAAACTTGGTGTATGTGTTTATTAGGTCAATGCCTTGACGGAGTTCGAAGATGAGCATTTTCCGCTTAGGGTAAGCAGAGATAAGCAATTTGATTGGTTGATGCTTTGGGACACGATAACTTTTAATTGAGCTAGAATGTTCAAACTTGGTGTATGTGTTTATTAGGTCAATGCCTTGATGGAGTTCGAAGATGAGCATTTTCCGCTTAGGGTAAGCAGAGATAAGCAATTTGATTGGTTGATACTTTGGGGCACGATAACACTCTTCCTAATTGAGCTAGGATGTTCAAACTTGGTGTATGTGTTGATTAGGTCAATGCCTTGATGGAGTTCGAAGATGAGCATTTTCCGCTTAGGGTAAGCAGAGATAAGCAATTTGATTGGTTGATGCTTTGGGACACGATAACTTTAGTTCTAATTAAGTGAGAACTATTATAAATTAATTAAATATGTAGTATGCAATAATGAATTGACATTTAATGACAGAAAGAAAACAGTGAACTTTGCACAACTTGCAGCAAGATGGAAAATAGACCCGTTGATACAACCAAACTCTAGATCTGTAGGCATAGAGCATGTTTTCCCCTTAATATGCTATAATTATTCCATCAAAAACATTGTATGCTTAGACTATAAGTAAAGATATACTGTTTGATTGTTCAATACTTTGTAAAAGATAATTTGTGATAAATTTATTTTCCTATTTCGGCGGGGGACATCAGCCTCACTGTTGGCTTGTTTAGTGTGGGACAAACATCAAATATGCAGGGGTGGCCAGCCTTTTACATAACATGCACCAATTTATACATTTTTCCCAGTTTCATTTATTTAACATATTTTAAACTGAGAACAGAGTAATGTGAAAGGAGATAGCATTCCTAAAAAGATGTGCACATAATAATAAAATCTCTAAAAATGAAGGCCTTGAGAAATCGTGTCATCACAGCAAATCAGATCAGCGCTCGTCTTCAAACAGACACTGGTGTGAGAGTGAGTGGCCAGACGATTCGGAATCGACTGCATAGGGGTCACCTTCGCGCCCGACGTCCTCGCGTGATCCCTTGTTTGAGAGATCATCACATTCAGGCAAGACGTCGTTGGTGTAGGGATCGTCAACACTGGGATAATCGACGCTGGAGCAATGTGACGTTTTCAGATGAGTCAAGGTTCACTGTTGATTTTTTGGACAGACGTAGGAGGGTGTGGCGTCGTCGAAACGAGCGCTTCCAAGACGTTAACGTCATCAGACATGATCGATTTGGGGGTGGTTCTGTTATGGTGTGGGGAGGCATCACTGTTGCTGGAAGAACGGCTTTACATGTTGTTGCAGGGCGTGTTACAGGCCAGTACTACCGGGACAACATCTTGGCAGTCCATGTTGTGCCGTTCGCACGACGTCATGGCCGCCGTTTCATCTTCCAGGATGACAACGCAAGATGTCACAGGGCCAGGATCGTTACAGGTTACCTCCAACAACAGAACATCACCACATTACCTTGGCCAGCACTGAGTCCCGACCTCTCCCCCATCGAGCATGTCTGGGACATGCTTGGACAGAGGTTACGTCAACGTCAACAACGTCCTGCCAATGTCCAAGAACTTGCTGCTGCGTTGCAACAGGAATGGGACAATCTGGACCAAAATGACCTTAGACGTCTCATTATGAGTATGCCACGTCGGATCAATGCTTGTTTGGCAAACAGAGGAGGATTTACCCGTTACTGACTTGGTTGTGATGCTGTGGTAACTTTGCTGTTTGACCCCGGGTATCATTTTACCCTTATAATGGTCAGTCTGTCCCTTACTTAGTCTAACGATCATTTGGAATAAATCGATGAATGTGAACTTCATTTCATTTTGTCATTTGTTTCTTCGTCAGTTTCATTAGGTGACTTTAATAACACTTAAAAATCAAATATCCCCTACTTTTTTTGAATAGTATATTATTACAAGGATGCGATGAGCCATGTTTGATGACCCATGATTTAGTACATCGTTAAACCCCATTTCATTTTGTGTACAAAAATGGAAAACATTTCACAACCTACCTTACATGTGGTATTTTAAATCTTTTCCAGGTTACGGACCAAACAATAGAAGAAATAGAACAATATACAAGAAAACAGGCAAAGTGTAAACTGTGGTATAACGAAAAAAGGTGGAGAGTAACAGCCCTCGCGTTTCGGGGATGTAACTAAAATGACTTGTCGCAGGAATATTAAAAAACTATGTTCAAGCATGTTCTCTTTCAATAAAATTAATACCATGCCAATAATTCATGGCAGACAACATGAAAAAGATGCTGTCAAACATTTTGAGTCTTTGACTGGGCTAAAAGTCACGCCAGCAGGATTATTTCTTTCTTTTGATTACCCATTTTTAGGTGCATCCCCGGATGGAATCATAGATGAAAATACAATTCTTGAGGTTAAATGCCCCTTCAAAGGTAGAAATGATCAGATCAAACCTGGAACATCTTTCCCATTTTTATGTTATAATTCTATGAATGAAATTGTGTTAAATTGCAACAGCAAATATTATGATCAGGTTCAGGGCCAGTTATTAATAACAAAAAGAAAACTGTGTTATTTTATGGTTTATACACATTGTGATACTTTTATCCAAAAAATTCACATTGATAATAATTATTGTGATTTTTCAATGTTACCCAAGTTGCAACTATTTTTTACAAAAAACTATAGGCCATTTGTTGCATCTCAAATTTAGATATGCTGATGGTTCACTGCTCTGGAAAAAATTGAAACTAAATACAAGCTTAAAGTCATGTATTAAAACTTAAAATTGAATAATGTACTTGTATACTGTGAAATTAAACTCAACTCTTTACTTGGGTCAGATAATAGAAAACAAATTCTAATGACAATTACGATAAACAAAAGCCTTCTATTTTACTCCTCGCTTATTAATGGTAAAACATGTGAGTTATAAGGTTTTCCAGGATATTGACAATATTCAGATTTTGTTAGTTTATGGTAGCATTTGAAATTTGACTTTCAACTGCAAAGAGACATAATTGGTTGTTTTATGGTAAATGTTAATCCATTTGCCTCTGAAATTTAATCTATACATTAAAAGATACATAATACAAAAACTAAATTATATAGGATGTTATAATAGCTGTACACCATCGCAGTGTATGCCAGTGTTTTTGTTCAAATCACGTAATGAAGATAAAACTGCTTGAATGTGATTTTTCAATGAGGACTCTTTTAAGACCTAACACGACAGCAAGTTTAAACACCTCACATATTTAAGTAATTTAAAATAATGATAGGTTATAACTTGTGTATAAAAATACATGTACATTTTTCAATGCAGCTTATTAACTGATTTAGTACACTTAAGATAAATTCCCAAGAAACTATGTATCGTGTTGTTATTTCCAATCAAAGGATGGAATTTCGGTTGACCAGTGTATGGAAAATATTGGATTGCTAAAAAAAAGCCTTGATGGACGCACACAAGACAAAAATGTGAACATATCGTTTAATGTTACGAGCGCTTATATGTTAATCTAATGGCTAATGGTTATGAGTAGACTGATAGAATTAAACATCCAGTAGACTTTGCGATTAAACAGCAGAAAAAAATGTTGGCAGAGGGTAATCCATGAATTTGAATTTACTATGGTTTCAATATTAACGACAAATACAAGCTAAAAATGGATGCTCACTCAATCAAGTCACATGATAACAAGGATGATAAAAATAGATTCTCACAAGATTGTGAAGTTTTCTTCAAATTAAAATGTTCAGAGGGAGATCTGAAGCAAACATTTAATAGATAAATTAGTTTGAATATGATTTTACTCCAAATACATCATCGAATCACACAGTTTTTACGGGGAAGGCATCGTTAACTTCTAATATTCATTCGGCATTGGATTGAAACATGCATTATGTAAGAACTAAATCTACCTATTACAAGTCTTTTTTTTTTGGCTTAAAATGTTATAAATAATTATTTAGACATTTATCGACCTGACAAGCCTATAATGAACTATGTAAATCGCCGGATGGCAGAGATTTAAACCGCTTGAAATGCATTTGCAATTTAATGATTTAATTTAAAAATGGACTCTCTATTAACAAGTAATGTTGCTACTGTAATAAACAATATTTGCCACATGTTGTCAAAACAGTGATAACTTGGCTCAGAATAAAGTAATCTGAATGAAATTTTCAATAATTAATTTTGAATTATCTATTTTTGAACTATTATAGCAATAATGGTCAGCATTTGATCTGATTCTTACATAATGTGTTTTTAACCTATATAGGCCTATTGAAATCAACAAATTTGATGTATGAAATGTCTGTTAATGTTATATAATAATATATACAACACAAGATTGTTTTAGTTTTTGTTTCATGCAAATTTATCCACAATTGATGGTCTGAAATTAGAAATAGAAAAACATATAAATACAATCCTTGATCCAAGTTTAAGTTTACTTGGAGGTAGTGGGGTGTTCAAAATCTTATATGTTTTGCTCAATCCAATAATGCGTTCTACGTGGATTCTTTTAGAAGCAATTCGGCGGTCTTTGATAACATCCTGTGGTTCAAGTTGGGATTTCCCTTTTAACATTGTTGGGGTATTCACAAAGACATTTTGTGATGCGAACAAATCTTGAACCATTATACCTTTGTCGGCCATGATGCTATCATGCGAGTCAAACATATTCATATTGGGTTTAAGAAGGGAAGAAGACTCGATGATCTGACGATCACTGGCAGAACCCCCAAAAGAATTGCTTATAAAGGAAACTGCGCCTCTTGGTGAACAACCAATCATAGTTTTTAATGTGTTTTTGTGTTTATAACTGGACCAAGTCATACTTTGAGCATTAACATCAGATGGTTTTTGTACAGGTATTTCAGTAGCATCTAATATAACTCTAGTTTTCCCAAACTTTGACTTAAAATCATGTGGCATATGCATGTCAATAGTTTCCCTAGAAGGCCAAATTTGAAGTTCTTTTAACTGAAAATATAAAAAGTTAATCCACATTATAATTATTTTGGAAACACTTGTCTCACTAATTTCAAACATGAGACTAAGTTCATAATCTTCTTTACACTGCCGTAATTTCATTAATGTCAAAAAAAGTTGATCAGGTGGTGAAAGAAGAATACATTGATTGTTAAGTTCATAAGCAGCAGGGCCTAAACAATTAAAAAAGAACATAAAATGTATATAATTAGAAAAACCAGTATAATACAAAACAGCTTTATCATTATTTATATAGTTCTCAATCGAATATTTTCCTAAAATAGTACATTGAGTTGATTGAATCATTGAATTGTTAACTGTTGCTGTTGGTTCATCATCCTGAAGATCATTTTCCATACCGGTACTTGATGATACAGTGACTTCTTGCTGCACATCAAGCATGTAACAGCCAAGAATAGATGACTCTCTATCAATATGTGGGCGACTGGTGGGACGTGCAGGTCTAGTAGGCCTGTTGAAGTCGAAGATAGAAGGAACTACATCTTCTTTTAATCTTCCCCGTTCACCTGAAATATAAAATTATATTTTTTTAGTTACAGAGCAGAGTTAGTGTTTTAAGAATTATAGCATACAATTCATTAAAGTTTTAGTAGTACTAGTATAAATGACCAAATTTCAATTTATTTATATGGAAATTAATTTTAAAAAACAGTGGTAAGCGCACATCCATAAATGTCACATAGGAAAATGTGCACAATTTAAAGGGGGGGGGGGGATTTCAAAATAACTGAATTGTAAATTTTTACCAAATAATCAGGAGAAATGTTATTATTAGGTTATTCAAGTGAACACAATGCTTGCTCATAAAAGCATTGTATCAAAATCACTTTAAGTTGCAGTATTTAAACCCATGTTTGCTGTGGATTATATAAATTAAACTTTACAGCAGTGACACTCTTCTTGAATATAACTTTACTGTCATCGCATCCTTTATGTGTTGATACCTTGAACAGAAATTAAAAGAAACCACAAAGCAACAAGAACAGAAAGAAATATACCACAATTTATAAAACAAAGTAAAATTGAACAATTGTTGATAAATTTAATTGAGGAAATAAAATAATATTACAGCACCGGTAAGCGTATCTCATAATAATGAAAAAGTTAACCAAATTACCTATTTATACATTAAAAGCTTTTTATTTATAATCGAAATTGTCATAGAAATATATAACTAAGCTTCATATTAATATTGACTAATCTCAACATTTTTTCAAATTTTTTGGCTTAGGTTAAATTTTAGGCCTACTTTACTACTTAGCCTACTTTTCAAACAGTGCTGAAATTGAATAAATTTTACATTCCTTAGGTGCTTGAAAATTCAACCTTTTATATTGCTACCGGTACCTTATTTAACACTAACACAGTAACAGTCGCCGTAACACTTACTCTGTGACTTATCCCCCCTAATACACGCGCGCCGCCTAGCGAGCAAAAATATGACGGCGGACCCCATTGCGCATCGATTTTTATATGGCGGCACAATTTTTGGTCAGTTCCTGGCCCAGATACCACCTTTGCGTTCGGGCGATCAAGTTAAACTAAACAATCTTCGGGTCCTCTGGTTATCTTCCAAATAGATTATTGAAATAAAATAGTACTATCATTTCTCTCTCAACTGTCACGGGCTATTTTAGGTGCACGTCACATTTTGTCGTCCCAACTGAACAACTAGATGCTTTTTCTTGCCAGAACCGTTTTTCTGTACCTCTGTATATCCCCACGATAACAATGTACGATTGTTTTAATATATTGGCGGTGCTATGCCAATGTATATAATTGGATTTTATGCAAAGAAAACTCCTATCCGGTTTCCTGGCGATTTTCATAATAATGAGACAGAACGTGTTTTGTTATTCGCGATTGAAACAAAATTATTGCTTTTTCTTATAAATTTCATATCATCTTAACCGTCTTCTTAGTTTAATGCAAGCAAATGAAATGGACTGTAACGCACTACAATTTTGCACCGACTGGGCTATTAAAGACGGACATACTCCATACAGTGTGCTCTGAGAGCATTTTACCCGGGCAGTGGCGCTACGGTTTATTTCGAATTCCAACTGTCAAGGTGCTCTTACGCGAAAGTCAATGTGTACACGGGACCTTGGTTTTTAGTCCCTTCCGAACGACTATACCTTGTCCCCTTGTCAGACCCCACAGCTACACCACAGACAAGGGGTTATGATCGAACCCGTGACATCCTGGTTAGCAATCACCGTCTCACTCACTGAGCCACTGTGGCTCCTATTTGATTTACGAACAGGATACCTCGCCAGTAACCAACCCTCTTCTCACGTTTATGGCATAAAAAGTCCAACGAATAACAAGACAGTCAGGTTTAAACTGTTAC